AATGGGTGCGCGCGTGCCGCGCGTTCGTGGCGCAGCGCACCAATATATACGATACCATCATCGTACCATGGGCCACGAAAAGCATTATTGGGACTGAATCGTTTCCTCGGAGGCTAGAGTTTCGTAGATCTTGAGGATGTTGCCGAGAAGAGCATAGCCGATGTCATCCATTTCCTCAATGTCAGCGAATGGTTATAAAGACTTAACAATGCAATTGAATTGAAAAATTGATTGGTTGAAATTTAAGTCATTTATTAATTTTCGTCGATAAAGGCTGAAGGATTTTTATCTTTGACTATATATAACCCGGCTCTATACCCCTTATTGCATTTGATTTTCCGTTTTCAATGTTTTACCCAACGCCATTGTTAAGTTTGAAGTCTTATCAATATTATAACGAAATAAAAAAAAAAAACAGAGACGGACTTAAAATTAGTTTAAATAAATTATTGTGCAAATGTCGAAACAAAAAAGTATTAAGTGTGGCATATCATTGTACTCAGGACCATCTCAGGACACCGAGTTCTTTTAAAACTTAAATATAAAAATGCAGGTCCGTATTTAAAAAATCGCGGCCTCTGTATCTCACAATTATCATTTCATTTAATCTAAAAATACTATCAGATAGCCTTAATAAAGTGGCTATGAAAATGTACAATTAGTTATTTTTGATTTTCAAAAATTAACGACAGGAAAAAATAAATTTATTTTCAAAAAAACCGTTTTTCCATAAAACTCAGCAATCCTTGAAATATTTAAAACTTTTTGATGGCATAAAAGGAATGGCATTGCTCGTACCCTCAATTTGTAGCACCCTGTATAAAAATTAGCCTGGTTTATCCGCTAAAGGGCATCAAACTTTGAAAACATATATTTTTTCACATATTTTAGAAACCGTTATTCCGATTTGAATGAGGTTTTGGATGTCTATGTCTATGTTTTGCTAACTGCTCTAACATTTGGATCTCACAAAATCAAAAGGGGCCATTTACGAAAAGAAAATCAGCCGTCGGTGAAGTTGGAAAATATTTATACTAAAATTTATGTAGGAGGAAGGGTGGTTTTCACCCTTCCCGTACTTTCTCATGATGCTGTGAAAGTCAAATGTTGACCTTAGCAAAACATAGAAACCAAAAATCTCATTAAATCAGAACAAATGGTTCTTAAAATATCTGAAAAAAAAAACATTTGTTTTATTTTTTATAGTTTGGAATCCTCTAGCCAATGACACTTTTGTATAGAGGTAGGTGTTAAATTAATAATTCTTATTTTTACATGATGAATATCTGCCCATGAAAGATGGAACAAGTTTTTTTAAACACTCTGTAGAAAAGGAATCCATCATCCAAATCTATGAATAAACAATGAATAAACAACAGGCAAAAATATAATACACAAAAAAATAAATTAAAGAAATATATTTTAATAGATGAGCAAAATAAATTTAATAATTATTTTAATTTTTAAACTGTTTGTAATTATTTGCGGGGTTTGTAATTTTTTGTTCCTTTTTGTAAATCCCGGTCCAGTGCCCTCTATAAAAGATCAGCCTACGGGCGGACCTTTGTTTACTTCATCAGCTGTACATACTTAGATATTGGGTTAGATTCTGTATTCTATATTCTGTCAGTTTAGTTTGGTATTATTTTGTTATTATGATGCAAAAACTCATTATTTTAGTGTTTAAGTGACATAAAGTACTACCAGATATATGGTCACTACGATGGTCACTCTGTTTCTCATAAAAAAACTGAGAAACATTACACGTTTTGTTAAGTGCTTTAACCTAAAAGTGCCTGTTTTTATTTATCGTTATTTTTTTTTTCTTTATTCTTCAAAAGCGAATAACTTCATCAATAATAAAGCTTAAATTGGAGTGTGTTTTTTGGTGCTGTGCTTCATCTTTGTTGTGTTCCTGGTGGAAGGATAGTTATACTAGGCAGTTTAAAGTATCCGAAAGAGCAAGAAAAGTGGGTACGAGTAATAAATCAAGGCAATTCTATTGAAAATATCTTTAATAAATTTAAAAATATCCCAGGGATGGTATTAAAGAAAACTGGACAATTATGTTTATTTTATTCATATTGTGGAATCTCCACTCTAAGTGTTGTTGGTTCAGCTTCGATAGATTCAAACACGTAAGATAAACACGTAGTAATTATGATCTAGGGAAAAATAAAGAATATTTTTTTTTTTTATAAAAGATTTTTATTTTGAGTTCAAAATTAAAAGATTTTTGTAAGAACAAGAATGATAAGTTTAAAAGAAGAATGTGTTTTTGTTTGATAATATAATGTATGTAAAGAAGCATAACATATATTTAAGTAATTTTACTGAATAGTGTTGATTATTTATAATACCAGGTAATATCAAATATTTAAGTGATGGCTGAATACAATATGAATAAAATTGGTATATTTATTACAAAATTAAGTTTTAAGAATAAAGGTGCTACTAAAATACTAGAAATTCATATTTATTTGTTTGTTGGTCGAATGTTATTTACATTTTACTTAAGAATTATACCGTATCATGGAAAAAAATCGGCGTCTAGTTGGCTTGGAAATGAACATCGATAACATTCCTTAAGTAATTGTACACATAAAACATTAACTAGAATTTACAATCTTGGAAAATTTGATATTCTTGAACCTTGTTTCTAAATATTCTAAATTTTTGATTTTCTTGGGATTTAGGTTCGGGAAAAACGCTGATTAAGTTTTCATTTGGTTTCATTATTTTATTTACAAAAAAAAAAAAACGTTTTGGCTAACATTATAGCCTTCATCAGTTTTGTGTCATATGAGAAAATGATTAATCGAATATAATCCAAAAATTACATATAAAATATTCACCCACACACATAATGTTTACTGCGTACTTCATAGTCAATGAATGGTTTTAGTGATAAGAATAATAATTCTAAAAATATGTGAAAAAAAAAAAAAAAAGTTTATATTAGTTTGTAATTGCAGTAAACATTATGTGGTGTGAATATTTTATATGTATTTTATATTCGACACTATTTGCTGCATATAACTTTAGGGCATAAAAGTATATTTAAAAAAAAAAAAAACATTTTAAACAAATAAAAATAATGAAAACAATTTTTTTTTTTTTTTAAATTTCAAGAAAATCAAAAAATTTTTTTTAAATATTTACATATAAAATGCCAGCGATCTTCATTTCATAGCCATCGCGGACGCCTTTTAGATGATATTGTATTATTTGTAAATATAATTTTTTTTTTTTTTTTTTTATTTATATTATATACATAAATTTTGTGAATACTAATAATAATACACACCACGTAGTAGATATTGAATGTTTTTGTTAAATTAGATGGAGATTTTAAACCCCAAAATTTAAAATACTTACATTTTACCCAATATCTTATGTAATACATTATTTGTATATTGTAAACATTTGCTGCATTTGTATGGTTCATAGTTTATTTGCCAAAGTATTTATTAATATAAATAGGTATATATGTTGTCGTTATTAACTGTATATTATGTATTTTTCATGTAAACTATATCATTTTTAAAATAAAATAAACCAAAAATCTGAGGAATAATTGTGTTTTCCATGTATTCTACAACATATTTATTAATCCGTAGTATCTAACTAGCGTGACGTCATAAATCTCGCCCTATGGCTGTTCTATTAGAGACGGCATTGCCCGGTCTCATAAAATACTGTAAAATACCTTAAAAAATCTTGTAAAAGTTTCCTGATATTTCTGTTTCTAATCTGTGGCAGTGGCATTTAACCTCAAAATTGTAACTGTCAGTTTCAATGGAAATTCAAATTTTCCTTTCCAAAACTTTCAACGTTTTTCTTCGATAGCGGCAATTTGACGGAAATTTATAATAATAATAAACAAAATTTTACGTCTAATCTGATAAATGTAAACCGTTTATACATTCTAATTATATTAGTGTTTATATATACATCCTGATACATCTAGGAAATTTTATCTCTATTTTTCTAATCAACACTGTAAACAATTGAATTTAAAAAAATGAACGTTGCAAGACTACTGGAAGAATACTTTTCCTTGGCGAATTCCAGTAAGGTAACAGAGAGAAAAAAGGGCTTCGAAAAGCTCAGGGATTTGCTCAGCAGTGACAACATTTTGGAAGATTTAAACTCTGCAAAACTCCATTCTTGGGAATACTTTCTAGATAATCAGTGTGTTTGAAAGGGTAAGTTTATTTAATACTTGTCATACACTAGTTATTATATGTATTTTGAACCAATGCAATAATGGTTTAAAACTGTATAGAAAATATTTAAATAAAAAAAAAAAAAAAAAAAAAAAAAAAAAAAAAAAAATATATTAAAATTTTGAAAAATGCTTACTGAAGTAAATTTGATTATAAGTCAGCTCTCCATCATACCCTACCATTATTATAGTTATGAAGGAAATATAGAGAACAATACATATCGTTGATGAGTTTTTTTCTCAATCCATTTAAGTAAATAATTTATGAATACTTGTAATAGAACGATATGATGCGATACTGATATGGTACAATAACTGTTGCTCTCAGAATGTTATATAAACAAGTTTACAGTTCCGGGTTAAGTTTTAAGATTGTTAGCAAAATAAAACTAATTCGCCATAATATACCAAAACTTGCTTTATAGAGATGCCTCAACATGTTGGCAATCTGACAGATTAATTTCAGATAACATTGAAAAAGTAAAGTGTTTTTTTTTTTTTTTTTTTTTTTTTTTTTTTTTTTTTTTAATTTTTTTTGTTCAATTGTTTTTAGGTGTCAAATGTAATATTTCAAAAGTTAATCAGATATATAGGTTGTTTGAAAGAGAAAAACATGAAAATGTGCAGAAATCTATTTTTGCTAGAATTAAAAATAATATTCTACCTAACATTACCTGTTTAGGCCATCTGGATTCAGAGGATTTTGTATGTAAGTAGTCATTAATAATAAACAAATCTAGAGTGATCCTAAATTAATTTCACACTTTTAGTATTTGAAATATTAAAATCAGAATTTACTGCTGTGGAATCTAGTGATGTTCTTATATGCAATTGCTTTGTGATGCTAATGAAACATTCACCTCTGTGTGGACTGCCACCCAGTTATCTTCGAGAACAGTTTACTTTATGAGTAAATTTTGTCAGGATGCTAAACCAAATGATCCTAGATCTGTACATAATGATGTGATGGAGACTGTGTTATATTTCTGCAAACATGTAAGCTCTAAAGATATATTAATTAATAGAAGCTTATTTCTAGAAGGCCTGAATACCTACATAAATATGTGATTTGTGCATTATATTTGCAAAGACCTAATAACCAAGTCTAAATGTAATTTAATCAATACGTTTTGAAAAAATGTTGTCCTTTAAAAAATTACATGATCGAAAAAACGGTGTCCAGTAGGCTGGGAAATGAACATCACGATTTCATATAAATTTACATATAAATGACAGCCATCTTCATTCATAACCATCGCTGACGCCGTTTTTTCTCGCTGATCATACGGTACTTCCTATGTGCAGAGATGGGTTAAATGGTTTTTGAAATATATTTAAAATGAAAATACAAAATAGATAATAGAAAAACAAACAAACAAATAGAAAAAAACAAAACTTACAAAATAGAAAATGCTTTTTAAATTTCTATTTAATATACAAAATAGAAAATAGGTATTTAAAATAAGTGATTTTTACAGGGTGGCGCCTCTCATACCAATGAGAACAGTAGTTTATATCAACATGAAATTTTGGCAGCATATGTAGGTTAACTAAAAGCATTTTATAAAAATAAATTTTTTTTTTTTATACAGGGTGTCTTTAAAATACATCATTGCAGTTTTTTTCTATGAAACACAATATTACTGGCTGATTCTAGAAAAATAAAGGTGAGTTTTATTAAAGAAGCTATACTTAAAATTAACGATTTTTTGACATATTTCACATTTTAGAAAATGAAGAGTAAATTTTAAATTTTGGATAACAGCTACCTAAATTTTTGTTGACCTTGTATAGCCTGATAATTAATACAGTAAACATTTTATGTTAAACCAAATTGAAGATTCCAAAGTTATACAGAGTAAGACAAAATTAATATGGAAAATTAGTCACTTTTAAAGTGTTATTCTTTTTAAATGAACACCCAGTATATTTTTTCGGTGTTAAATGGGGAATTTATATATTCAAATATTATTAAGGCTGTTTACCAGACAAATATTTTCCGAGATATTTTAATTTTTATGATTTTGGGTCAGTAAATCTTTATTATTGAAAAAAAAAATCTAGGTGGCTGTAGATATGGTTAATTTAACAAAAATTAAAGATTGTAGAGTAAAATACTCTAGGGTACAAAGATACACGTTTAAAAACATATTTTAATTATTACAGAATTAAAACTAGATATAAACCTATAATTATATGACAAAAATTAGCTAGATGAAATCAAATGCTCAAAATGCGTCCTTTCCTATTAACTGCATAAAATTATCTTTTCATTTCAAAAGGCATATGGGGAGTTCTACCTCGAAAAGCAGCTACAATAATTTCTCTCATGTTGTCGACACTAGATGGTCGAGTTTTGTAAACACTGTCATTAACATACCCCCATAAAAAACAGACTAGATAAAATCAGGAACATTTAAGTATTCTATTAATTGGTGAATGCATTCACCAACTAATAGAGTCATATCAATTCTCTCTGATGTAGTATAAGTTTGCATTTCGGCAAATTTCTGAGAATTTTTTTTGTTTTAACTGACAGAAAATGATAACTAGTTGTTAAAATTGGACTAATTAGACAACTATGTTAACGTCAGACATATCACAGCCACCTAGGTTTTATCAAATAATAAAGATCTACCCAGATCAAATCATGCAAATGAAAATATCTAGGAAAATCTTTGGGGGGTAGGCAACCTTAATAGTATTTTGAAGAGACATAAATTCCATTGAATATCGTGGAATATACTGCGTTCCATTTAAAATAAGAGAGTAACGTGCTTTTAAAGGTGACCAATGTTCAATATTAATTTTGTCTCACCCTGTATAACTTTTGGATTGTTTTAATTTGATTTAAAGTACAGTAGTTAATTTAACTACATATTAGGCTATACTGCAATTTCAATTTAGGTAGCTTTGTTGTAATTTAAAATTGTTCTTTATTTCTAGAAAATGTAGAAATATGTCAAAACCTTACGTTTTAGTCATATACTTTTCTTATAAACTCACCTTTATTTTCCTCCAAAATCCGAAAAATCAATTAATATATAGGGTGTTCACAAAAAACGCAACTTTGATATGTAACTTTGGGACACCCTGTAGAACTTTTTTATTTTTAAAAAGTGTTTCTGAATTAACCTACATATGCTCACAATATTTCATTTCAATACAAAACTGTCGTTCTCCTTTGGAGCCTCAGCGGCGTATGAGAGGCTAACTTCGTACAAAATGAAAATACTTTTTTTTAATTGCATAAATAAGTATATTCCTTAAATAAAATAATGTTTATGAATAAAATACATATGAAGAGGGTATATTCTACCAATAGTCTACATAAAAAACCTTACCATCGTTACATGTCTAATTTTTTGTGCGAAGTATCTTTTTGTGTAGCCATTATGAAATAGTCATGTCTGCCAGCGCGATCCCAGGGCTTAAAGCGGGGGCGGCCAATCGAAAAGGTGAAATTTTAACACTAAAGATATTATAAGGTACACGAGCAGTAATTGCGAAAAATAGCTTTTATTATTAAGAAACGTGGGAAATTGTTGACAGACATTTTTCTAGTCGCTAAAATGCCAAACAAAGCGAAAGAGGCAAGAAATTAAAATTATTAAAAATTTAAATTTGAAGAATGAAAAATTATGGCATACATGCATGCCGATTGGTAAATTGTCATATTTATTTATTGTAAAAAGCCGTATGCAAAAGGGCAGACAAAAAGATCGTGGCTAAATTAGCTGCAGATAGTTATCAAAAGCGCGATATACTCTAGCGCTTTCAGGGAACGCTCGCCGCCTCATCCATTTAGTATAGATAAATCATGTATAATGATTATATTATAAATATATTTTTATTATTTCAATAACAGATATCATATATTTACTATTCTGTCTCACTATTTGTATCTGACTCATCGTACTGCAGATCCTCGCTCTCGCAAACGAGTTTTTCTCTAAGTCGATATCTGCACCATAAAATTTTTGTAGATTTACATGCATTATGTTTCAATTAATAACGCGGCGAGCGTTTCCTGAAAACGCTTTATACAGTGTGAGTCTTAAATAAGTGCAAATACTTTTAAGGGTGATATATTTCGACAACAGGAATATATCTATGAGTTTTTTTCGCAAAAAAGATGTAGAAAATCGTGCATTTTTGAAATTATTAATAAAAAAAAAAATTTGAAAACTTTTTAGAACTGCCTGTTTACCGCAAATTTACCTACGGTATAATTATTTCTTAACCTACCATGCCACGTTTGGCTTTACTCTATGGCTGAAGACTAAAAGCTAATAGAAGCAAATACTAGTTATTTCTTCTGTGCTATGATTTGATGCAAATACAGAAAAAACAGGTGACTAAAATAAATCAATTTCTTTTAAATTTTCAAATTTGAATAACTTATTTTTGACTTACTTGGAAAACGGTAAAAGAAAATATATGTTTTTTATTGAGATCTACCAGCTCTGAAAATATTTGCTCTTATTCAAGATTCACCTTGTAGAGTAATATCGCGCTTTTGATAACTGGGTTCACCGCTGATTGAGCCTAATGATTTTTTGGTTGCCCTTGTGACACGGCTTACATAAATAAACAATAAACATGACATTCCACCAATCGACATGAATGGGCGGTATTTTGCTTTTTTTTTGGTCAAAAATTTTTTTTTTTTTTTTTTTTTTTTAATTATAGTATTTTAGCAATAAGAAAAATGTCTGTCAACACTTTTACACGTTTCTTATTTAATAATAAAAGCCATTCACCGGAATCAGCTGGCAGACAAGGACTATTTCACACAATGGCTAATAAAAGGATATCAAAGAAAAATTCTATTTAATGTAAATCGATGATAGCGTTTTTTATGTGAGCTAACTCCTCCCTTCTAAATTTATGAACTTACAAATAGAAGAATCTGCGGGAAATATAAAACGAACATTAATTTTACGAAATTAGATACTTTGCTGGTTGTAAACACATAATTTGCTTTAATTATATACCAAATAGGTCTCAAAGGTCTCGTCTGTCATGGACCTGCTTCTTTTGGGTCTCATTCCTAAGTAATAAAGAAAAAGCTACATATAAAACTAAATTAAAAAAAAATTTTTAAATGTTTTTATTTGATATAATATTTTTTTAGACTGTCGAAGATAACAGAATGTCTTGTATAAAATTTGGAGAAGACGTTTTCTATGCATTATTACAATTATATAATGCAAGTGGCCATGAATCTGCAGTGAAAGTAGGTTTATTCTGTCTGGATGAAATCAATTCTTTCACTAATATTTAAATTTTAAGGAACGGTTCTTGGACTTTTGTCTGTTACAAATGACCATTCGTAATCCTGATGGAGTAGTAGAAGGAGACTCGCAAGCTTTAGCCTCCAGTTGGGATCTCTGGAAAAGATGTATAAGAAGCATACTTATCTGTAAGTTCAGAAATTTAATTAAGAAAATTAAAAATACGTTGATTTTCATACCTCATGGAAGATCTACTCTACTCTTACAAAGTTTTGTTTCTCTATTTGTTGAAGTTAGCAAACAGGTGAGCAATTCTTCCACAGGGTGTTTTTTAAAACGTACCATCTCTCTCACGTAAAAAAGGATTTTATTTTGCGTCAACATAGCTCCAATTCTGCTTTGTTTCATACCCACAGGAGGCTAAAAACTTCAATTTTTTATAGTTTCTTTGATGGTCAAAGTTATTACTATTATTATTAAGGTCCGACCGAGATCTCTGTCTCGGTTTCAGTCATTCTCGACTAAAGATCGGGCCGAAATCTCGGTCTCGGTCTCGGCATAAAAAGGCCGACATTATCGGCCACGGCCGAGACTGCTCACGATCGTCAAATTAGCTTATTTTTGAGCGTATCGCTCCACCTATCGATGCGTGAATGTAATGAAATGTTCGTCCGAAGTCGAAAAAAAAAGAATGGATCATATCTGATCCATATATGATCTGATCGAATCACGCAGAGGATTTCCCGGACGGCTGAAGAATCGCCTTCGTATTTCTATGCGTAAACAACGACGGAATGTTAGATGTTAGTGTCTTATTAATGTAAGTTATACATTTAATAAAATGAAACCAGCAACTTATTCATTTCTAGTCTGCACCACCAACAAGCGTCTCTAGCAAACAACTATTTAGAAAGAATATGATGAAACACTGCATAATTTGAAAGGATACAATGCTAAAAAAATACTTTTTTAGCCTATACATAGACTAAAAAAGGAATTTTATTAGTATTAGTAATTTTATAGTATATATTAATATAATATTATACTGTTACGTTTTTTCGTCGGTTCCGTGTGGATAGAAAGTCACAATTTATTTAAACACTATTTATTTAACACTAATGAACAAAAATAATAACGATAAAAGACTTATAGAACTATTTACAAACGATTTATAACTAAGAATTTATTTTGAATTTTAGCGCGTCAATTGTATATTTATAACTGCCCTCTCTAGGTCACTGCCGCCGGCTTTATACCGACAGGTAAAGAAATCTAGAATAGTCCAAAGATCGTTAGGCGTATAGAGAAGGTTTTTCGAATGTTCTCGTATGTACAAGTCCATTCTAGTGGGTCTCGATTCTTCTCTAACGAACCAATGAACGCTTGCGGTGTCTGTGCGATGTTAAGGTCATCCGAGGACGGGCCATATTGTGAGGTTAGGTCGAGTCCACACCGGCTCGCAACATTGCCCCCTTCTTAGGCACATGATCGTCCCGAGATGTATACGCCGAATGAAGGTATTTGCAAAGCTGGCCCTGGTACATTGCGAAGTCTGGGTAGAAATAGCAGTCTACAGTTTTCTCCCCCGATCTCAGCTTTGGGTTGTAGCATCAAACGAGGATCTCGATTTCCGTAAATCTGAACAAGACTTCAATCATATTCCGGATTGTACGTCAACTCAAACATAATGAGCGAGCGAATAATCAGGAGTCACGGAAAAGAGGTCTCGTTGATCTTTGGTTACACCATAGCGAGCCTTCTCACTGCTGTTGTATCGGGCCATGAAATCGCCAAAGGACATCTCCGAATCAGGGGGATCAAAGCTGCAGGTTCTCACGGTCCCAGCACGATCTTCTATTTCGCCTTGGTAGGGGCTCAAACGGTTGAAATGGACTACCCTCGGTTTTCCTTTTGCCAATTTTCTGATACGGTATACGACGTCATTAATTCTATCCATGACTTCGTATGGCCCTTCCCACGAGGATTATAGCTTCGAAGATAATCCACGACGTCTCTACGGGTTATATAGCCACACCGACTTCCCTGGTTGGTATCCTCCATGCTCAGATTGAATGTCGTAGTGTTCCTTCATTCGGTCACTAGCACTTTGAATATTTAGGCGGACTCTCTGATGAATGTCGTCCATCCTTTGACGTAGTGTGGACATAATCTTCTCCGGCGACTTCTTCTCCCGGTCGGCAACCAAATTTCAGATCACAGGGTACTTCCCGTCCCATAACGATGCTGGCTGGAGTTTGCCCTGTAGATTCTTGGACGGATGAACGGTAGGCCAACAGGAACAGGTGAAGAAATTTGTCCCAGTCTCTTTGGTGGTCAGAGACTACTTTGGCCAAATAACGGTTGATAGTTCTGTTCATGTGTTCAACCATCCCATCGGATTGTGGATGTAGAGCAGTCGTCCTGGTCTTGCGGATGTTCAGGACTTCACAGACGCCTTTGAACAGATTCGACTCAAAGTTTCTTCCCTCATCTGAATGAAGCTCCATGGGAACATCAAACCTGCAGATCCATTCTTTAACAAAGGCATCAGCAATCGTGGACGCTTCTTGATTTGGCAACGCGTAGGCCTCGACCCATTTGCTGAAGTAATCCATTACTACCACAATGTATTTGTTGCCATCGTTCGTCTCCGGAAAGGACCAGCCACGTCGATCGCTATTCGTTCGAAAGGACTACCAACATTGTACTGGCGCATAGGGCTTTACCACGCTTTTGTGGCCCATTAATGGCTGCGCAATTGTCACATTTCTTACACCAGGCCTCACATCTTCTTTGCAGTTCACCCAGTAGAACCGTCACGCAGCTTGCCAAGTGTCTTGGTAAAACCAAGATGTCCTCCGCTGGTTCCATTGTGAACTTCCTCCAAGACTTCTGGGACCCTCTTCTTGGAATGACGATCTGCCATCTCTCTTCTTGTCCCTCCGGAATCTCGATCACACGGCGAAGTAGTCCGTTATCTATACCAAGGAATTCCACTGGGCCCAGTACGATTTTACGTTCGGCGAATATCTGCAAATTTCTTCCCACGTTGGTCTTGGCCTGTGTTTTTCCAGTTAATTACTAAACCTAATTCTGGGTCACTGGTTTGGTCATTTGCAAGATCTTCGGCTTGCCAACTATCATTAACCACAGTTGTTCTTAGGAGTTTCACTTCTTTCTCTTCTGCTCGGGAACAATGCTTACAGTCCTAGCGCAAGGTCTTCTGGAAAGTGCGTCGGCATTTCGATGGATTGCCCCAGCTCGATGTTCTGTGTCGAAGTCAAATCTTGTAATCGTTCAATCCATCTAGCTACCTGCCCTTCAGGATTCTTAAACTGCAACAGCCATTTCAAAGCAGCATGGTCTGTTCTTAACAAGAACTTTCTTCCATAGAGAAACTTGTAGAAGTGTTCCACTGCTTTAACTACTGCTAGTAATCCTCGTCTGGTTACACAGTAGTTCCTTCCCGGTTTTGACAAGGTCTTACTAAATAACCAATGACTTTTTCTGACCATCCTGGATCTGAGACAGAACAGCACCTAATGCAACATTGCTAGCGTCGGCATCCAATATAAAGTTTCCGCTGCCAAGAGGGTAGCTAAGAATGGGCGCACTAGTCAGGCCTTCTTCACTTTCTGAATGCCTCGTCAGAATCTGAGTCCCAAGAGAAACGCCTCTCGCCTTCGGTAAGTCTGGTCAATGGTTTTGCGATGGTGGCGAAACCCTGTACATAGCGTCGATAGTATGTGCATAGTCCAAAAAGCTTCGTAGTTTATGTTTATCTTTAGGTATCGGCCACTCTTCCACTGTCTTGGTCTCCTGTGATCTACCGCAACTCCCTGGGAGGAGACTACATGGCTCAAGTAGTGTACCTTTTCTAGACACAGATGACATTTCTAGGGGCTAAGTTTCAAACCAGAACTCCCTAGTCGCTTGAAAACTTCTTCCAAATTCTTCAGATGATGGTCAAAGGATTTCCCAACTACTATGATGTCATCCAGGTACACTAAACAGGTAGTCCAGGATAGTCCCTTAACACAGACTCCATTATTCTCTCAAAGGTAGCTGGCGCGTTGCACAATCCAAAAGGCATGACGGCAAATTGCCACAGTCCGGAGCCCACTGAGAACGCTGTCTTCTCTCTGTCTTCGGCGCCATGTCGACTTGCCAATATCCACTCTCAGATCTAACGTAGAGAATATCGTTGACCCAGCCAGTGTGTCTAGAGTATCGTCTATCCTCGGCAGGAGATAGCTATCCTTCTTGGTAACATTATTGAGCTGCTGATAATCAACACAGAACCTGGTGGTACCGTCTTTCTTCTTTACTAGTATTACCGGCGATGTCCACGGGTTGTTAGATGGTTCGATGACACCCTCTTCTTTCATTTCTCGAAGGCTTTTGTCAGCTTCTTCACGTTTGGCGAGCGGGAAGTCTTCTCGGATTTGGTTTGATTGGTCGTGCATCTCCAGTGTCAATTTTATGTTGTACTAAATTGGTACGACCTCTATCTCCTTCTGCTTCTCCTTTATCAAACACGTCTTGATACTTGATTATTAGGTTTCTAAATTTTCTACTATTCGGGAGATAATACTTTAACGTTTACTAACTCCTTCACCATTTTGTCTGAATTTTTGAAATCGAAACTTTGGAGGCTTCTACGCTTCGAATGACTGAGGAGACCGAACAACAGTAACCTAACAGGGTTCCCTTCTTCAAGGATACAGAATAATAATTCGTGTCTATTACTCACTGGTACAGTTTTCTTCGCTCGTAGCAGGCCTTTTCCAACAGCGATCCTCGTCCTATTTCGCTGTCATGGTTCCTTGGCTCCAAAAGAATAATACTCCCATTATTCATTTTTCCTTCTAGGCAACTATTATCCAAAAATATCTCACAGCTCTCAGGGATCGAAACATCTTCTGCTACCACCACGCGAAGCGTCTCCTCACATTTTCGATGCAGAACCACTTCTTCTTCATTTATTTTCAAAATTCTTCTGAGGTTTAGTTCAAAACCTCTAGTGGTCATGATGTCCATTCCGAGAATAAGTTCATCTTCGATGTCTGCTACTAACACTCGATGATTGAAACAGGTGCTTCCGATAATAAAATTAAGATCTACCTCTCCATGGATGAGAGCGGAGCTTCCTGTAGCCGTACGTAGTCGCCATTGTGTTGTTTTAATCCTTTTTGATGTTTTAAGCATATCCGGCCTGATGATCGTTTCGGTCGTGCACCTATCCAAAAGCATGGTCCGTAACTCTCCATCCACGAAACCATCCACAAAAAATGCTGTTGAACTTATGTTGTAGCGATGCGACTTGAGCAGCTTTCGTTGGAACCTGTTGGGTACTGTTCGATATGTGTCCCTTTGATTCGAAACTTGGCGAAACCGGGTCCACGTCTTTTTCTTTACAGTGACTTCTTACGAGTCCTGCCTGGCCGCAATTCCAGCAACAAGTCGGTCCTTTCCTGCCCATGTACTCCTCCATGACTTTCCGCACAATGCTTTCCGCGGATTCGTCGGAACATTGGTTGACCGCCCGTATTCTCACTAGAGACCGAGAACTTTGTTTCGCGGCCTCAAATTCTAGGGCACATGCTAAAGCATCCACCAAGTGCGTTGGGTGGGTTAGGAGAAGTGCTTGTCTCGTTTCGTTATCACGTAAGCCGTCGGAGAATGCCTGTACTGCCAACTGCTCCATAACATTCTCTGGCGTAGCAGGGTACGCAAGGCGAACGAGGCGGCTACGTCGGCTTCAAACTCCTGCAGAGACTCATTTGGCTTTTGAATGCGATTTTTAGCTGGAAATGATAGACATGTTCCAAATGAGCTTGGCCGTACCTCATTTGTAAATGTCGTACCAGTTGTTGATAATCTCCCTGTTCCGATAGTGACAATGTCTGCAGAATATCAGTCGCATCTCCCCGCAGTGCGACAGTCAAAGCGGTAGCCTTTTCAGCGATTGTCCATCCGTTCGCTCGCAGCGGCCTCAAACCGGCAAAAATAATTGGCCCAAGCGGTTTTCCGTCAAACTGTGGAGGCTTAATAACTGACTTTGAGATATACTTATTTTCGACTAGTTTCGGTGCCTGCGATGTTTCTTGACATTTGGTGAATTGGCCTTTTCTATTTCTTTTGTTTTAAAATTTCGATTTTTTTATTTACATCATCCTCAATTTGTGTTATTTTGTCTTGTAGCTCTGTAGAATTCTCTATAATCTTTTCTTCTAATTCCCTGAATTTTCTGTTATCTTTTCTTCTAAATTAAGTATTTTATTATTAAAGCTGGCCTGTATGTCTAGAATTTTCTAAGATCTTATCTTCCAAAATATTAATTTTATCACTGATTTTCTCTTCTAAATTAACTTCCAAGTCAATTATTTTACTATTCAAATTGTTCAAGTTGTCATCTAATTTTTGTACCCCAATGACGAGTCAAGGCCCTCTCCAGCTCAGCAAGTAAATATGTCAGGATCCTCACCTTCCTCCACCAAAACGTCTCTCAGTCTAGCTTGCACAATGCTTTTCTTTCCATCTGTCTTGCACTCTCTCTCTTCCAATATGCATTTCAGTTCGGACACTTTCAAGTCTTTCAACAATTTTTTCAGAGCTATGGTCAGTCTTTTTATTCTTCTAGTCTATCACACACGCCACACTTGGCACACCACTCACATGTTTTTTTTTTTTTCGTCGGTTCCGTGGATAGAAAGTCACAATTTATTTAAACACTATTTATTTAACACTCACGAAACAAAATAATAACGATAAAAGACTTATAGAACTATTTACAAACGATTTATAATCTAAGAATTTATTTTAATTTTAGCGCGTCAACTGTGTATTTATAACTGCCCTCTCTAGTCCACTGCCGCCGGCTCTTATACCGACAGGTAAAGAAATCTAGAATAGTCCAAAGATCGTTAGGCGCATAGAGAAGGTTTTCGAATGTTCTCGTATGTACGAGTCCATTCTAGTGGGTCTCGATTCTTCTCGAACGAATGAATCATTGCGGTGTCTGTGCGATGTTAAGGTCATCCGAGGACGGGCCATATTGTGAGGTTAGGTCGAGTCCACACCGGCTCGCAACAATACATATAATAAACTATTTATTAAATACCAATAAAACCGTTTCTGCATGAAAATAACGTTTGTATTACATTATTATCAGATGTTTTTTCATATAATAAACTATTGAATAAATATTGCATCGTGTCTCGGTCTCTTTTTCTCTCGGTCTCGGTCTCGGCCGAGACTAAAAATCCAGGTTCGGTTGGAGCTTAATTATTATTATTAAGGATACCAAAATCGACTAAATATTAATATACACCTTCCAATATGCATTGAACGGCCTACACAATTTAACTAATAGAAAAAAAGTCAGTAGCGCACATGTTTTAGAAAAATCGAGGGGCAAACCGCTGGTGGTATTTATTGTACAAGCACTTGGTAATACTGGTATTTTTTTGGTATTTTTGGTACTAATTTGGTATTATTTGGTAATAAACTGGTATTATTTGGTAATAAACTGGTATTATTTGGTAATAAACTGTTTTTATTTGGTATTAAACTGGCATTAAACAGATATTTTGTTGGACATCTGGCAACGCTGGATTAGACGCACGTGGCGATGACAGCCGGGAAGCTGATTTCATCATTTCTAGCCCATTTGCATCTAAAGCTAATACTGAAAAATATCTATATTTCTAGCCCCAAGTACATCTAAAGCTAATACTGAAAAATATCTGGAATCTAAAGGTTTGTCAAAGCACCTTGTCTAGTTCTGGATGTCTCAGAAGATACCACTCTACATGTTTTGGAAACTGATTATACCCAAGAAAATAATATAGTTTATAAAATACTAAAGCAATGGTTAAAGCCAAAAATTGGTGATGAACTCTGGAGCACTCTAAACTGCAATAGTCTGTTTAATAACATTATTTTTAGCACATCAATTTTACTTCCAAATTCTACTGCAAACTTCGAGGCAAGCTCGATTTCGGGATCGACTTTAATATGCAAAAAATAACCTGCTTTTGTAAAAAGCAAGTAACTTTAACAAATAAAATATCATCCTTCTACAAAAACCACAAAAACAAAAGAGTTACAACGGCACGCTGGGTAAGCTCAAATTTTCAAACACACTGGATAAAGCATTTTGATATAACAAATAAATTCTTTATACCAAAAATTATTAATAATCGTAGTTATAATATGTTAATCCGAGGTTAAATCAGAGGTAAGCAATAATCCTTCAAATACCTCTGAGGCACAACCAAAAATAACTTCATTTCTAAAAAAGCCTTCTACCGAGCCTTCTACGGAAAATACCGAGGAAATTACAGAGGCATGCAAACCCTCATGTAGCAAAATTGTACTCCTTAATCAAATATGTGAAGCTCCCTGTAATCAAAGAAATCCTAATGTAAAAATACTAGAATGCGTAATTATCCCCCCAACTAAACTAGCCTCGGAACTACCCTTATCAGTCCACTTTAGCCATACCTCAGCCACTTTAGCCATACCATCCACAAGCAATAATAATTATCTCCCCGATGTTACCCCTTTACTACCATTATCAGCTGCCGCTTCAACCTTACCGTCAACAAGCAATAATTCAATTTGGAAGTCTACAAAATACAACCTCTCGCAAAGGAATAAAAGAAAAATTGAAAAGTTTCAGTATAATCAACCTCTTGTAACCAACTTTATTTCGATATTAGAGAAAATAAATTATTTTATTCTTAAGGAAAATGGAGAAACATCGAAAGCTCTTAAAGAAACGATGATGGTTTGTCTAACTGAACCCGAGAATGAACCTGATGAGAATAAGCCAGAATCAATGCCAGCAAACAAATTTTTAAACATGCTGCTTAAGACAGACTTTGGTACTAATTTGGTATTTTTGGTTCTAATTTGGTTAGGTATTTTTAGGTTAGCTATTTTGTGGAAATAATTTGGTATTTTTGTTTTTTTTTTCCAAAATTGGTATTTATTGTACACCATTTTTGGCAGCGGTTTGCCCCTCGAAAAAAATATTCCAGTGATAACCCATATGCATGTTCCTGGTATATGTAGAGACTTTTTGCATTAAAATATGTCTCACTTATAGTAATTTTTACCCTCAAAATTTCATTCGATCGCTAAAAGCACTTGGAAGAAAATTATAATAAATAAAAAAATAAGACTTGAACCTCCTTTAGCTACGAAACAAAGCAGAATGGGAATGTTGATATAAAAATTAATCTTATTTTTACGTGAGGAATCTCCTCCCACAAGAGATGGCATACGTTTTGGCAAACATCCTGTATGTTTCCAAAATAACTAACAACTACTTTATTTAAATAAATATTTTTAGTTGCTTAATTATAAGGAACATATACCTTCTTCTGATCCTTCAGAGCATCCCCAGAAGAGAATAAAACTTGAGATGACTTTTGAATTTTTTGTTCAAGAAATTCAAGCGACTAAAAGTTGGATCTGGTAATGGAAATTATTTATTTATTTTTTTTTATATTTATAATACATTTTCAGGATTAAACTTACTGGTGCTTTATTAGACAAATATCCCGAAGTGATCGATGGGAATCTATTTCTACAGCTATTAAAACTACTTCATTCTCTGCAGTGTGAAGAAAAAGATACTAACACTACCAATTACATATATGAATGTCAAGGAATACTGATAGATGTACAGAATCGGTTGAACTTTGATAGCAAAGATGAAATTGATAGTATCTGGAGGCTTATAGGGGAATCAACTTTGAGGTAAATTTTGTTCTACCGAATGTTCTACGTACTTATTTAATGTCTTTAATTATTTTTACTTTGAAGCTTGTTTTTTTTTAATTTTCTCTAAAACGGTAGGTAGCGAAATTTGGAAAAGTGTAAACGGGATTAACCTTTTTAGAACAAGCAACATTTTTTATGAAGAATATTTTTCTCAAAATGTCAATAATAAAAAAGTTTTTTTTCTCTTGTAAAAACAATCCGGGGACATACTGTATAATAGATTTTTTTAAACTGCTATACTGAAAAAACTGACGGTTTTGGTTTAAGAGCATAACAATAAATAATGATATATGATATTGTTGAAAATCAATTTTATTAGCCTATTAATTTTTAAATAATAAAGGTAGGGTTATTTAAAATAACTAAGATTTGAACATTTTAGGAGAGGTCAAAATACCTAATCATATTATTTATATAGGGCATTTTCATGTGAGTGGACAAGTACCGTATGTTAAAAAAAATGGCGTCAAAAACGGCTGAGGAATGACAATTGATAATATTGGCGAGGTAAATCTCTAGACTCTCATTTACTAAAAATTGGCAGAAAGCTTGTCAAACCTAACACTAATTATAGAAAGATTAAAAAAGGATAGAATGTTTCCAGAACACAAATCTATTTCCAAAAAAAATATTTTTTCTTTAAATTTAAACCATTTAAAACTCATTTTTACTCAATAAAAAAATAAATTACAACTTCCTTAAGGCCAACTGGCAGTAAGCGCCGTTAAAAATGAAGAAGAGTACCCTGCAAGTAATGACGTCTAGGGCTTGACCTCGCCAAGTATATCATAGATTGTCATTCGTCTTTGACGCCGTTCTCTTTTTCGTTTGTATGGTATTACTGCAAAGTAGGTTAGATGATGTAAAGAATTTTTATTATAATTCACATTAGAATTTTTAATTTTTTTTGTCCAAATCAAAGCTACCATGATCATAAAACATTTTGAGCGGCAGAACTTATGGCTTTATTACATGTGTTTCCAATGTGGTGGCACTAGCCTTTCCTGAAATGTTTGGATGCGGAATTAAAACTTTTAGAGGAAATGTTTTGAAACATTTTTTGCAATTTGAGTCCAAGATGTTTCCGTTTTCGACAGCCACTGTTTCTAAATGTGAAAAAAAAACATAATACCAAACTAAAATAGTCTGTCTGTGTGTAGGTTTCAAAATAAAAACAACCATCAACAATGTCGACCTCCGTCATAATTTTTTTTGTCTTAAGATCTTTGTTTTTAGGTTTTCTCGCGCAAAAAATGTCTGGCAAAAGCAAATTTATCGTTTAGTTTAATAATGTACTTTCACATTTTTAATGCCTCTTCTATATATCATTATTTATTGCTACAAAATATTTTTTATTTGAAATATAGATTGTTATTTCTACTTCCATTTCATGGTTCTGAAAATAAAAATATATAAATTAATGTAAGTAGAACGCGTTATTATGAGTTTAAAAGTTCAACAACCGATAAAAACCATATTTTTAATTAAAAACGCTAGCGCTAGCCAACATGGCAGAATTTTAATTCATTATTTTATAAAATTGGCATGGAGTCGGACACAAATCATCTGCAGTATATCATATTTGTGTCTAAAAAGAGAGAAACTCGTGTTTCGAAAATGAATCGACAGTAAATGGAAACCTATGTTTCCAAAATATTTCCAAATCTGTGTAGAAATGTTGGACTAGTCGCCTGTCAACAACGCCAATCAAAACTTCTGGTAAAAATAATTAAAACACTTTTATTTACTTATTATATAACAATTAAAACATAAAAACATGTAATACATTGTGGAAAAAAGTGAAAACAAAACTTTTGCTGGTAACATTTTTCTTCTGTCTCCTCTTGGGTATGGGTAGTGGCTATTATTACATTTATTCATAAAACCATCTCTGTAATGCGTATAATAAATAATTATAAAATTTTTAATTATAGTACTATAAAAACTTGAAGAATGCTTAAATTAAATGATTAAATACAAAAAGTGCAGAACAGAATCCAAACAATAAAGTAAGGTTATGTTCTCATACTTGACAGAATATCAAATCAATTATGGAAAATTTTCAGGCATAAAACGGGTACCAAGCCTTTATAAATGTGAGCCACATCTGTTTCATAAAAGTTTCGAAAAATGTGTGACACTGAGATCTTTATTGTTATAGCTTATATAGCGAAACCATATTGTGGTAAAACGTTTCAAAACAAAAAGCCGATTTATATTACGAAAATATGTATAAAAAATGTGTCGAATTAATTCCAGAACTTTTGTGTCTTGACACAAACACCTTCATTGTTTTGTAACTGTTTCGCAATGTTTCTCAGCAGAGATTTTATTTCGATTTTGTGTCTAAAAATGCTACTTGGAATGGTCTTTATTGCTATTTAACGTAGCCTAAACTCGTTCATTTCCGAGCAAAATTAAACTAGTAGAGTTGGTGCATAATGTGTTTTACAATAAAGGACATACATTTTATTTTAGTACATTTTTTTATTGTATTTTAGCGCTGTTGGATTGAATCAGAGCATCGAAGAAACACAAATATTACTTCAAAAATTGATTAAGAATAATTATATTGACTTAGAATCGGCTGTTCAAATATACAAACCAGGTGTTCTCACTGTAACAAAATACCATTTAAGCACTACAGAAAGAATACTGGAACAAACCAATTTTGCCGAGTTAACCAAGGCTAAGAGAATTAATTTTCTTCATAGCTTGCTTAGCTTTGAAAATGTTAAGGATCCTAAATGTTTTCTAGAGCCTAATTTTGCTAAAATTTTGGTAGCATTAATCCTGAAACAGTATCCTGATGGTGACATAAATATTCCTAAAGAAAGATGTGATAAATTTCTAGAGTTAAAGACTCTATACGCTAAAAGTAGTTTTAGTTTAAATCATTTACTACTAGAAGAAAATAAAGATAAATCTAAAGATGCCACAAGAATATATAATACAGAAAATGAGATAATCGATTCTGTTTCTCACTACATTGAAACCTTGGTGCAGAATTCTAATTCGAAGAATACAGGATGTAGATTATGTATTTTTGGTCTTCTATATAATATTCTAAACAAATTGATAGAGTACAAAATAATCACCGAGGATACTATGGAAGAAAATGAAATATTTGTAATTTTAAAACGGATTATTAATAAAGATAACCTAATTGAAGAGATAATGAAGTATCAAAAACAGGATGTTAAATTGTTGCGGGAGGTACTTGAAGTGGCCTCAATACTTGATACTATTTGGTCCATAAGGAATCATATAACTGACTCTGTCAAAAATGTGTTTTCCTTGCCTTTTCTTCAGGCGCTTTTTGAAATTGTGAACTTCTTACAGAGCGGTAAGTTACCTTATAAAATAATATCTTCGGAATAAATTTTATTTTATAATTTATTAAGTTACTAATGGTTGCTTTATACTTCCGATCTTAACCCTAACAACTGTAACACTAGTCCTAATCTCAAGAATATGAATTAACTTAAAATAATGCTCGTGTTCATGCTTCAAATGCTGCGATTTGAATATTAGCCTTTGTCCTAACAGGGCCTAAGATATATAGGATATATATATATATATATATATATATATATATATATATATAATTTATATTCTTAGGACTAGTTCTAATACCAAATTGATCTGCATGCTTATAAAGACTTTATAAGACCTTATAAACTTCGTTTGCGCATGCCCCCCATTAAGAGTTTTCTAAAGAGCATTTGACATGTTGAATTTGATGGCCTGTTATTGAGTAATTATCTTTTTTTAGTCTAGAAATGATTAATGTTTATTCACAAACAAGTGATTGTTCTCACTGAGAACATAAGTTTCACTCTAAAAATATTTGTATAATTAGGTTAACTCAAAATATACAGGGTTGTTTACCACATACGACACGGAGTATTGTAGCTAAACAATTAGATTTTTATAAATTGTAAGTTTAGGGTTCGTTGAAGAACTATTAGAGCTACAATTTAAAAATATTGTTACGTTTTTCGTCGGTTCCGTATGGATAGAAAGTCACAATTTGTTTAAACACAATTTATTTAACACTAATTAACAAAAACAATAACGATTAAAAGACTTAAAGAACTATTTATAACTTATTTACAATTTATCTAATTATTTATCTAACAGAAATTTATTTTGAATTAGCGCGGCGATTGTAACTATACGCGTCGATCGGTTATTTATCTCTGTCTTTCTTAGGCTCCAGGCGTCTGCTTATACAGGGTGTCCCAGAAATGAGTGCAGATATTTTAAGAGGTGGTAGATCTGGCCAAAATAAACATATTTTCTCTTTACCATTTTTAAAATAAATTGAAAATAACTGAGTTATTTAACTTTGAAAATTTAAAAAAATAATCGCAACATTTTGAGAACCGCCGGCAGATATTGCCAACTACATCCAATTACCCGGATCAAGCCCGGATTTCAAAGTTAATTCGACGCACTGTGTTGCCATATGGACAAGAAAGTCTATGCGTTTACAAGTAAGTCATAAAATCACAACACCTGAGGAGTTTGCAGAGATGCATTACATTTTTAAGATTGTGATATTATTACATAAAATAAATTAAAAAAGTTAAATGTTTAAAAGTTAAATTAAAAACCTTACCCAACATTAAAAAAGATACTTATGACAGATCGATGTAACTGCGACAGTTCTCTTTTTTCGATACACACTTAACTAAATACACTTCATTGTGCTGCTTTACTTGTACGTGCTATTATAAAACTGCTAAAATAACAGTCCCCATTTTTAACTTAACACATTATTTTCGTATAGGTTTCATCACAATTTGAACCATTGATTTACAAACACCTTTGAAAAGCACACATTACACATTACTTTGAATATATTTCTGAATGAATAAATGTTGAGAATTATTACTACTTTACCGCCACTACGAATCTACTTTCAATCTAAATACATGTTACACTCAACAATTTTAAATACGTATTTTGTTGCTTTTTTCGATGTATTTCGACAATTCCGTCAACAGTTCAACATCCATCGGCCAAGATAGCCACGCATCACTGGTTGGTAACTGCTCACTGCTTTTTGTCGCGCCGGCGTGTCGAGCTTGCGCATGCGAGGTTGCCGTAGTTTCACCAACTTCAAATTCAAGACATTGAAGCAATCAAATTGTTAGTTTTTTTAAAAATAAAACAGAAAAACATGAAAGGAAACAAACAAAACACAAATGAATTGATTATTGATAAGGTCACAAAAAGAAATTTCTAAATTGTTTATCGTAATTCAGAATTCAATATATTGAAAACAGCCCGACGAATAATCAATTCATTGTCGTTTTGTTTGTTTCTTTCATGTTTCTCTGTTTTATTTTTAAAATTTAATACAAATTTGATTGCTTCGAAGATCTCTTGAATTTGAAATTGTTGTAACTACGGCAACGTTGCTTAACATCGTCGTCTGACGCAAGCCTGCCTACGACGGCGCGGCTCAAAGGACCAGTTCACGTGGCACTCTTGGCCGACGCGCGACGGTCGGTCTGTCAAAATACATCGAAAAATAGCGAAAAAAATAAAATAGGTATTTAAAATTGTTGAGTGAAACATGTCTTAAATTGAAAGTAGTTCGTAAAGTGGCGATAAGAGACGGTATTCAAAGTAATGCGCTTTTCAAGGTGTTTTGTAAATCAGTGGTTCAAATAAAAACAGAGAAACATGAAAGAAAACAAATATTGAATTCTAAATTACGATAAACATTTTAGGAATTTCTTTTTGTGACCTGGTTGTGAATAATATGATGAATCATTTTCGTAAACGTCATAAACGTAATGTTTTAGTTAATTTTCGGTGGTTTTGTTAAGTTTTCATTGAAAGGGTAAGTACTAAAAATAATTAATGTGTTTTTTCTATAATAATTATTAATAATGAGCACTGATGAAAATTTAACATTCTTAATTTTGAGTAGAAATTTTTCTATGAATTTATAAATGTAGAACTATGTAGAATGTGGATAACATAGGAGGTTACAACACTGCATGGTTTAGATACACCGTAGAGAAATCTCAGGTGAATAAACAAGTGGCACTAAAAAGTTTTTTCAAATTTCCCGGAAAATGTCAAGAAAAATTTTAAATTTTCAACATTTTTTTTTCGCAAAAAAAACTCATAGGCGTGTTTCTGGGGTTGAACTATACTACCAGTTAAAATATCTGCACTTATTTCTGGGACACCCTGTATAGGAGAGAAATAGACAATCCAGATTTGTCTAGTCAATTCTTATTCGTTCTAGAACGTCGGCATCGCTGGGCGTATGAGTCATAGGCGAGTGGCCAGGCCTAAGGCTGAGTTCACACGGCACGGGTCCGCAACAATATTTTTACAAGATACAGAGTGTCCCAAATAAGTCAAAAATATTATAGTTGTGTATTTTTAAATGGAACTCCCTGTATATTATTCTGTTTTAGATTCTACGATTAAAATAAAGGTAAATTTGATTAAGGTTTATCACATTTAAACGTTACCGTTTTTGAAATATTTTCGATTTTATGAAATTGCAGTAAAAATATTAAAGCTTCATTTCTCCAAGGGTGTCTAAGTTTTTAATACTAAATATTTACTGAAGATTATTTATTGATCAGATATTGTGTTGCAATAATAAAAATTTTACTACCTTATACAGAGTGTCCAAAAAATTTATAGTAAATAATTACTAGCTATAAACGGCAATAACTTGTTAATTTAAATAGAACACTCTATATATTTTACGTGAATCAGATGTACAATGTAATTGTCTATCAAATTGTATTGTACCATTTTTTACCCATCTCTTCAACTTTTCGTAGAAAATGCATTTTCTTATAATTTATACCTCATTATCACTATACCCATGGAATATTGACATTTTAGATCATTTTTAAATATGTAACAAATTTTCACATAGTACAGATACTAATATTGTCGATATAGTTCGCTTATTTCATTAAAAAATAAAAAAAATGTTTAAATATTTTTTTTTTTGTTAAAGAGGACCAATTAATATGATCCCAGTATTCAAACTACACTAATTGACTGTTTACGTTGATTAATAATAATTGCTCCGAATACTAAAAAACTGAATTTTGTGTGTGTATTAGACAGTGTGGTAAAAAGTAACACCTTATAAATTTTGATTTCATCTTTTGACGTATGCTTATTTATAAGAACAGAGACGTTCATTTTCATAACTTATTATTATATTGATTTCTGAGCCAAATCCACATTTATTTAGAATACTTTATTAATTAAAACAATTTAAAAGTATGTAATTAACTAATTTTTGGTCAGAAATAATGGTGGTATATTTAACCCTTTCGCGCCTAATGGGTTATATAAGTCCCATAAAAATATTTTTATGTCCTAGTGGTCTCAAATGCCTATTTAAATTGCTATATGTTGTGTCCCACCCGGCATCAACGTGTATTCTGCCATTATTCTCTAGTAGTCGAGGCATGCGCGTTTCCATCATTACATATGGCGATTATAGTAAACCATCCTACCTATACTAGTTCTTTCTTTACTGCTACAGGAAGCATATTATTTATATATTTATAACTAAAAAAGTCATAAATTACTTTCAACAATGGTCCCTGTAAGTTTTAGTAATAATCTGTACAAAAATATCTAGTTTGTTTCTATAAAATTATGAAATTAGGCGCAATGGGACATATTTGTCCCATCTGTATTCTTTCTTGGAAACATATATGACCCTTTTTAGTAATGAAAAGTTCTTTTCCAGTAAAACGTAAATTGACCGAGAAAGAGTTGGATTGGCTCATAAATCACCCTTCGGATATAGAATCGGAAGTTTCGGAAGAGGAACCGTTTCCTGGTAGCGAGTCTGAGTATGAAGCCTCAAGTCACAGCTCAGATTCTGAAGAGGAAGTAAACTCGGGCTCAAAGAAAATAAAACGCGCAAAACTAAATGATAATTTATCAGAAAGTGAAGATGAACCTGATGTAGATAACAACCAAACTTCTGTGCAAGATAATGATAATGTAATAAATTAAACGAGACTGCCGTCAGAAAGTGAAATGAACTTAACAATGAAAATCCTACTCAAATGGATACGGATGCCGTATAAATAAAAATTGTTCCATAAATTATTCTTGGCGTGATCCAGAAGATATAAACTTTGTTCCACGTAAGATTATTCCTGAGCAGAGTGCAGTTTGCGTTCCCCCTTATATCCCGCAACAGATCTCTTCGTTGGATAGAATTAGACGTATTTCTAAAGCTAATGCCCCGCAGTTTTTATTTTATGCATCGAATGCACAAAAGATTAGATATTTTGAGGCAAAAATTTAAAAATAAGATTATACAACAAACTGATCCTTCCAGAACTCATGATTGTTTTGGGTTGTATGCTAGTTTATGACCTACAATCGTTTGGCACTCCGAAATGCATGATTACTGGGCTTCAAACAAGTCTCTAGGAAATGCAGCTATAAAATCAGCAATTTCGAGGGATAGATTCCTTGCTCCTTCACTCCAAATTATATTTCAACCATCCAGAAAACCCAAAGATGCAAATAAAATATACTACATTGAAGAGTTAGTTTCATGCTTGAAACATACGTTTCAAAAATCGAGGACCGAAACCACCCATCAATCGATTGATGAGTCGATGACGAAATTTAAAGGACGGTCAAGTTTAAAACAATACTTCTACCCCTAAAGCCTATAAAAAGGGGATTAAAATTTGGCAAAGGTGCGATTCAGTATCTGGATATGTATATGACTTCAACATTTTATCAAGGAAGAGAATCCGACGCCATGGCAGATAAGCCGCTAGGAGAAAGAGTAATTACAAAACTGGCATCGACAATACGTGAACCACACATTACTACAAGTTGTGTTTCTTGACAGGTTTTTACATCTGTTCAATTATTACATGATCTTCCATTCGCTGCAGTGGGAACATGTATAGCCAATCGAAAAAATTGCCCACGCTGGTAAAAAGGACTGGAAAATCGCGGGGATTATAAATTTCACTGCAGTACGTCTGGTCTATTAGTATCTCAAATGGAAAGATAGAAGGAAGTTCTTGGCCGTGTCCAATTGTCACCGTCCAGAAGTTGTTAACATAAAAGAAAGAAAAAGGATGGTAGCCAAATTGAATGTAAATTGTCCAACATCAATAGCATTTTATAACAAATATATGGGAGGGTCGACCTATCAGATCAATTGGTAGGAACATAATGATTTAGACCGAAAATCATGTAAATGGTGGAAAAGTGGTATTTTACAAATTGCTCTTAACAACTGTTGTAAATTCACATATATTGTATAAAGAAATATGTAATACTAAATCATTGACTCTAAAAAAAAAATTCTGCGTGGCACTAGCGGAACAACTTATATAGCCGAAGGCAGAAAACATGCACAAAATAAAAGGAAGAAGCCGTATGGAAGACCATCAGTATCATCGGCAAGTGTAAAAACGTTACGATCTCCTGCCAATACAAGGAGATACAAGAAGAAGATGCCATCGATGCTATAAAAATAAAAAAGAAAGGCGAACAAAAATGTATTGTAGTGAATGCAACATTGCATTATGCATTAATTGTTTTAGTATTTTTCACCAATAATAATATAAAAGTTGGTAATTCAAATTAGGTACTATTTTTCAATAATAAAGTTTATTTTTCAAGAATATATTGTGTTCTTAATTACTAAGGAGCCATATATGTCCCACAGTTAATTACTGGTGGGACCCATATGTCCCAAGGGGGTAGTTTCCGAAATGGTAAGGGTTGAATTTTGATACTTGCCTATATTATTAAAAATATCATATAAAGTCGAAATACATTTAAATTTAGTTAAATATTTTAATAGCGAAAAGTCGGCGCGAAAGGGTTAATTGGTATACTCTTTTAGAAAGATTTAAATAGTTTTTTTTGTATACCAATGGTCTTGCAATAATTACCACCTGTACATTTTGTACATATATGTTGCTTTTGTACATAAATGAGGTTTAAATTATAAGAAAATACATTTTCTACGAAAACTTGAAGAGGTAGGTAAAAAATAGTATAATAAAATTTGATAGACATTAAATTGTGCATATGATTCACGTAAAACATACAGGGTATTCCATTTAAATTAAACAAGTTACTGCCGTTTAAAGCTAGTAATTATTTAATATATATTTTTGGACACCCTATATAAGGTAGTAAAATTTTTATTATTGCAACAAACTATCTGATCAATAAATAATCTTCAGTAAATATTTAGAATTAAAAACTTTGATACCCTTAGAGAAATGAAGCCTTAAAATTTTTACTGCAATTTCATAAAATTGAAAATATTTCAAAAACGGCAAGGTTTAAGTATGATAAACCTTAATCAAATTTATCTTTATTTCAATCGTAGAATCCAAAAATAGAATAATATATCTATATATCTATTTAAAAAAATACAACTATAATATTTTTTTACTTATTTGGGACACTCTGTATCTTGTAAAAATATTTTTAAATTGTAGCTCTAATAGTCCTTCAACGAACCCAAATCTTACAATTTGTAAAAATCTCATCGTTTAGCTACAATACTCCGTGTCGTATGTGGTGAACAACCCTGTATATAGTTTCATTTGTGCGCATATAACATATTGTAATCGCAAAACATTTTCTGATGCAATACATCATATCGACATTGACACTAAAGTCTATAAACCTGACTAAATGAAATTTTGGCAAAAATGTTTAAATTTGTTGTATAATTTAAGATACCGAGCAGCTCTTCATTTTACTTTATAGAGCAAATGATTGTAACAGATACAGATTTTATTTAGATTAAAGCTGCCGAAATTAGTTTAAACCGAATTTTATTATCGCTATGTTGGTCACATTGCGCCGCGATCAGCAATGTTGTTTTTTATTATTTGACAATTATTATCCTAGTGTCAGTCATTATTTTGTATAATATCGTGTTGTTGTTGAATCTTTGTGGGTAATTCTCTTTTTTTTGCCTATTTTCTTAATCTTTTTTTTTAAATTGCACTTTTAAACACAAACCGTTCTTTTAAGAACTAAATTTTCGAGTTTTTATATTACATTTCTTGAAATTTGTGTGTTGAAAATATGCCGAAGCATTTAAATAGTCGAAGAAAAGAGCTTGTAGCTCCCTGTTTTTTTTTAAACAATTTTTTTAGCCAATATGTAATAAGTAAAATGAGCTATAAAACAAATAAATCAATTAATCACTAAAATATTATTTATTAAATTTAAAATAAAACGTAAAACTTTTTAAAAAATGATATAATAAATATGTTGTCTGTTAATTTTAAATTAAGATTCATCCCATAAATCCATCACAATCTGGCAGCACTGTCGCCATCGCTTGTCACTCAAAGTTGATCACGTGCATCGGAAATTGTTTTGCGATTACTATACTACAATATTTTTAAGACAAGTATTAGAAGTATGAATGGCATTTCCTTAAGGTCTTAAGAGATTAATTTCTTAAGTGAGATATTAGTAATTCAATAATTTTAATTTAACAACAAATTGTTTTTAAAAATTGTTAGAATACCTTTATTAAAAACGCATTTTAAAAAATTAAAATTAAAGCTATTTACCCATATTCAATATACCATTTATTGACCCCTTGGGTATTTACCAGGTACAAAAACTTAAGGCGCATTCTCACGACTGGTGTACTTGACAAACATTTATTTATTGGAATATACTTGCCATGTCGTGAGAACGGTTTCCTTGGTCACTCGTCGCGTCCCCACTCTCTATCGGTAAACATAGCCCGAGTCAAACGATTAATCGTACACTTGCCAAGTGTACTGGGCCAGCTTTGTTTACACTTGTCGAGGCGCAAAAAAACGACTGCGCAAATAATGTTACTGTTATAGCGTATGTCCGATTTATTTCCGGATCGTAGTGTTTTTCGAGTTAATTGCGGATAATTTAAAACGTTAAAACAACAATAGATTATGTAATATCAAATTTACATTAATAACTTCAATATTGGCGGCATTTAAATCGTTCCCACAGCAATAAATGGAGTGGACAAATGAAGACTACACGGGAAAACCCAGATATGTCACATTTTCATAGAAATTAAGATAGCGACGTTTAGCGAAACAACTTTATGGACAAATGTTCGTCATTCGAGAAAAAAGAAAGCAATACACTTAGTCCTAGAGATATTACAGCTTGGTTAATTTGCCGTACAAAGGAAAAACCAGAGAAGTCCACGCGTAAATGGCAAAACCAGAGATGGTCTGACGCATGGGCCGACAAGCACGCATCGCGAGAGTTAGTATTATATATGTTATACCAATTTTGTATTGTAATTAAAAACTACTTAAATATTAATTTTCTCCCTACAACAAAAAAAATAATTAATTTTAGATTTTAAGTTTATAAACCTTTAATTGGACATCCCTGGTTTTCTCCTGTTTTGTTTTGCATTTTGACATTTTTATTTCCGGTATTTCAAGAATATGGCGATAATCTCACAATATTAATAATCCAGAATTGGTAGTAATAATATATTGTCTATTATTCAACGGAAAAGTAACATATTTCTTTAAAAACACTAAATGCATTTTTTCGGCTCCAATTAAAATGCACAAAGCTGGTTTTACCCGTGTAGCTTCAAAATGATGTTGTTATGGAATTAATGGATTTATACGAAAATGAGCCCTTCATATGTATGGCCAAACATAAAGAATATAGAAATCGTATTGCAGTACAGTAAAAGAACTTAAAAAGAAAAAATAATCACTAGCAACGACAATTTCGGGACGACCGGTATCCATCGATGCGACTAAACTGTTTACTGCCAAGGATTTAAACAATGTTTGTGCTGGCGTACTTGTTGAAATGGACACGTCATGTGAGCGCCACACTTGCCGATGTTGTTTACAAAGTGGGGACTGGTGGGGATACTTGCCAAGTACGCAAAAATTGGCGTACTTGCCAAGTAGACCAGCCGTGAGAGTGCGCCTTTAAAGGCGGATTCTCACGACTGGCGTACTTGACAAGTACGC